AATTATACATAGCTGCTTTATTTAATTTTGATCAGTACTTTCTATATATACATGAAGGTGAAATTTTCTTTGGTACCTTTTTAAAATTTTTTTTTTTTTTAGTTGTCAATGGACCTTTATTTTATTTATTTATATGTGGTGCTGAGAATCAACCCCAGTGACTCACATATGCTAGGCAAACGCTGTACCACTGAGCCACAACCCCAGCTCCTGGTATGTTAAAAAATAATAATAGTTTTTAGTTGTAGATGTACACAATGCCTTTATTTAATTAATTATTAATTATGTGGTGCTGAAGACCGAACCCTGTGTCTTACACATGGCAGGTGAGCACTCTACCACTGAGCTACAACTCCAGCCCCTCTTTGGTACCTTTTTATATGCGTATAATATGATTTTGTTAAATTCATTCTATATTTCCTCCCCTTTCCCATCCTCCCTCCCTCCCTCCTTTTCCTAYTCTGCGGATCTTCCCTATGTGTTTATGATATTCAGTGCCTGCTGCACCACCTTTTTTACCTTATTTGAGGAAGGATTGCTTTTCATAGTATTTATGCATATTAGAGCACAAAGAATTTGTTTTCTAATGCCCATGCTTTGTAGGTACAAGAGATTGCAAATTACTATAGTTTTATGGCAATTTAAGTTACAAAAATATTAAAAACAAATTAGAAATTCAGTGCCTCAGTTCCCTGGCCACATTTCAAGTGCTCAGTAGCTATGCATGAGTAATGGCTATCAAACTGGACAGTACAAACAGAGCAAAACTGACCCATTCCCATCATCCCAAAAAGTTTGGAGAGTGCTGGCTCATGTGATTCTCCCTACACAGAAAAACAGAAACTTCATATTTTATTTGGAAAATGAATGAATGAAATGGAAATTTGCCATGCTGTGGCTGTCTTAGAATTCAGTTGGATTCCTGAGTTATTGGAAGAATTCATTCCTTCAGGAATATTGTGAACTGCCATCACTGGGCAAGGTGCTGTGTTACACTCTGGGGACACTCTGGTGAAGCAACAAAGGAATGGCCTTTGTGGACCTTATCACCTAGTGAGGCAGAGAAATAGAAAAATGAATTACATAATGTTGGGAGGAAGCCGCAGCAAACCCAGTAGCTGATACTAATGCACAGGCAGTAATGGTGTCCCCCCATGCCACTGCAGAGCTTTTCTGGATAGATGTGTGCTGAGGGAGGCAACCCAGCTATCATATTTATAAGCAGAGAATATAAATACTCCAGGACTGTTTGAAATTGTTTTGTGTCTCAGGAGTCTGAGAAATTTAAAAGAGTGCGTACTCCTGAGTCACACTCCAGACCTCCTTAAGCTAAAACCTCAGGGCTGGAGAGGCAATATTTTTGCATTTCTAATAACGGTTTTCTGGTGTACACTTAATTTTGAACACCGCCCGCCCCCCTGGCACGCGCGCGCGCGTGCGCGCGCGCACACACACACACACACACACACACACACACACATTATAATCGGATGGATTCAGGGCAGATAGTCTTCAGCAGAGAACCAAATGGGTGATCTATAGATGGGGAGTTCTCCTGGACCCCGGATCCTGTCTCATTTCTGTGGATCTATATTCTGCCATGGCAGCATCAGGCCAGCTCACTCCCTGAACTGGTCAGAGGCTGGGTGGACTAGACCTACCCTCAGCCCTGTGGACCAGAAGAAAACCTGTCAAGTTTGAAGTCCTGGAATGAGGCCCAGTGTACACCTAATTAAGCTTGGTACATGTATGTCTGCTGCCAAACCCTTCCTTCCTTCTCTCCCTTCCTTTCTTCCTTTTCTCTTCTTTCCTCTTCTTCTCCCTCCTTCTTTTCTTCCTCCCTCACCTACTTGGGGAATGAACCCAGGGAAGTCCACTGTTCAGCTATACCCTGTAATCCTTTTTATTATTTATTTCAATCCAGTCTCCCTAAATTGCTGAGGCTGGCCTTGAACTCCTGATCCTCCTGCCTGAGCCTCTCAAGTCACTGGGATTACAGGTGTGGCCACCTGGCCCCATTGTGCCACCTAGTTTTCTAACTCTTGCCCTCTGTACCACCTGGATTGTCCAAGCCCTGTGGCTGTCAGGCAGAAAAGTTCCTACTGCAGTGAAGCTTGCTCAGCCCCCTTTCTTCCTGATGGAGGAATGTAGGTCAAACTCTGTTTCAACTCAGAACTTGAGTTTCATCTCAAAACTCTGCTGTCCAAACCACCCCTGACCTGCCCTTGGCTACAATCCCACTGCCCCAGCCAATGGTCTTAGATTGGGACACCAACCCTTCCCATAGTGGCCTGCCCCTGTGAAAGGAGGGAGGGGAGGAAGGCCAATGGTCAACATGCTATGGTATGAAGAAGTGGGCTTGCTACTGTGGGAGGTGGTTTTCATTCATTTTGCAGATGATACTGGTGCTTGGGAGACTCTACAGCTGAAGTGCACAATGTAGGAGTCCACCTCTCCTGTTGCACACTTGAAAGGTGGCTGTTCCACAGATGTGATCATAACTCCCCACAAAGACTCTTGGTCACCACTTGACCAGCAGTAACTTCCAGTTCATAGGTGCTCTGCTAGGAAGACCTCAGGGAGGTGGTCCTAGAGAGCTTGCTGCTTTTGCAAGGTCGTTGGCACCAGCTGAGCTGGGAGGGGTCTATAAGGGTCAGGGCTTGCCAACAGAGGGATCCAGAGAAGCCCTAAGATGGGGATATAAAGGGAAACCATCTAGGTTCTCAACGTTTTTCACAGGATTGAAGGACACTTCAGAAAGCAAGGCACAGGTAAATATTTATAGAAGGACATGCACAGAATTTACACTTGGAGTATGGGTAGCCCTTGTCTCAAAAGATGAGAGAGGTACCCAGCTTTGAGCTCTCTCCATATGATTTTTGAGGGTGTAACCCTATGTGGGGGGGCCATTGATAGATTTTGCTGATTTAGAAGATGTTTACAAGCCACCTTGGAGATTGAGTCTTGTGACAATCAGATCCCATGGTGACCACTCTTTGCTTGGAAGTCAGAATCAGAATGTTCCTTGGTCAAATTTGTTGGCACATTATGTAATTTCCTCAGGTGGATGATGTTTTAAGTAATGTATGATCTTTGATAAGCATATATGTTGAATGTTCTGTTTGTCTTGAACTGAAGAAGCAAGTTCAACATAACTTGTTTTATTTTAGTTCTCCATTTACTAAGGGCCTCTCTTCCTTGGCCCATTTTACTTTCCTGTCTCATGGTGAGGGCCTGGGCCTCTGGGCCTCAGTGATGTGAGTGTTGGGGGTTAAAGAAGGGGGTTTGTGGGGCTGATGGCAAAATTTATGTTGTTGACAACCTGGAAGGATGAAATTGTAAACTTGTGGAATCTATAAGTCATAAATGGAGAAAATGTGGGACTGACAAATGGGAGGCTGTAGCTTCAAAATTAGGCACCTGGGGGGACAAAGGGCAGTTTGAAGTCCCTTTTGTTTAGGTAATATATTCACAGGTTCTGGGCATTAGGCTGTGCACCTCTTTGTGTTCATTATTCAGTGTGCCACAGCTGTACAGTCAGTGCAATGCTTTTGATTCGTCTGTTTGGTTCATTTATCAGCACTAATTCTTTATATGGCTGAGTTGCATTTCTGTGTCTGAATGAATATGGAATAGTTCATTCCTTCTGTTCCTGATGAATTCCTGGACCATTAATAGTTATACCTTTCACAAAAATTAACTTCAAATTCCCCCATAAATTTAAATTTCCCTATAAACAGAAACCTTGTAAAAATCCTCAGAGATGACACAGAAA